TGTCATGGGTGGTGGGAGTCGATAAAGTGAGCCAGGTACGAGAGAACTGACCCTGCAAGTGACAGGCAATGCCAGGGACACAGCAGAGTGGCAGGAAGTGTGGCAAGCAGGGACAACGACTGCTCGGACGACACCTGCGGGACGCGGTGCTTCCCGGCTGCAGCTGTGGGGCTGGTGTTGCCAGGCCTCCCGGGTTTCTAGAGGTGCCAGCACTGTGTGTTTCCAAAATGTTAAAATCCCTCCTTTGTATGTTTAAGGAATGAAGTCAAAATGAAAATAAATGTTTGGCAGGAGACTTCGCGGGGGTCAGATTGGAGGACCGTCAGTCTCTGTCCTTAGTGCCACGTTCGTCGTCTCACGGTTCGCGGCGGCTGTGCTGTTGCCGTCCCTGCCGCCCCCCTCTGGTCACCGATGCGGCCAGCCCGCCCACCGGCCCACGATCCCCTCTCTGAGATCTGTGCGCCTGGGCAGCACCGGGCCTCTGCTCTGCCAACGTTTCCCTCTGTCCCGTCAGGCCAGCTCCCTGCAGGAGCAGCCACCTCCTGTCCCCAAGCCCATGTGGCGGCCACTGCCCCAATCCGCCATCCCCCGCCCTCTGCTCACCTGATGGGCGCCGACTCGTCGCCGTGGTCCAGCCAGTCCTGTGGGGGGATGATGTACATGCACCAGAGGCCCCACGTGTAGCCGTGGGCCGCGTTGGCGTACTGCTGCACCTCGAACGTGTTGTACTTGATGTTGTCAATGGCCGGCAGCACGATCCGCCGGCGGTCCTCCTGGATCCGGGTGAGGGCGGGCTCAGCCCTGCGTAAGACATGTGGGCCGTGAGGACAGGCGGGGTCCCAGGGCCTCCCCCATTCCCTGGGAGAGATCAGCTCTCCCAAGGGAGGGAAGTGCAAGGCCCACAGATTCCGCCATGTCTGTCCTGAGCTCCCAGCTCAGCCTCTCTTTCAGCCCAACCCCGCCTCCCGCCCCTCCTTTCCTGCACCTGTGGAAGGGACATTCATTTGTAAGTATTAAATGAGGATCTATCATGTGCCACGCTCTGCTCTAACAAATTGGAAAAGATTCTTCTACTAAAAAAGGAAAGCAATCCATGCCCCAGGGAGCCTGCAACAGGTTGGATGGAAAAGCTACCAGGCGCTGTTGCGCAGTGCGGAACCTACACAACAGTGCGCAATGGTCCTGACTGGGTGGGGTGAGAGGACAGACAATGATTCTAGATAAATAACAGGATATGTCAGAAGGCGGAAGGCATCACGGGGAAGAAAGGCAGTGAGGCAGTGGTCAGGAGCTGCAGTTTTAATAAGGCATCTGTGTGGCTGTCCCGGTGTGACGGGAAGGTGTGGAGGGAA